TTATATTTACGATAAAATTATAGTTCTTATATGATGTATCTTAAAAGATACATCGCCAAGTTTAGGGTTAAACAAAATTCATAAATAATATAAAATTTGACGTAACATTTTACAAATTTTATTTTTGCAAATATTCTTTTCAGAAATTGTTGTAGCTACTGACACTGTATGGAGTGATATAAGCATTCATTTAAATAGTCTAATGAGTAAAAGTGCTATTCACACTTTTGTGTATAAAGGACGCCACGAGATTAAAGAAAAGCTCGGATTTTGTTCTAGTCCCAAGATTGATCCACCAGAAGCTATCTTTAATTCTTCCACAGAATATGGTCGGTATAATTTTTACACGTATTATTCAAATATATTACTTATATTATATTGTGTACAGTTTTATTTGATTATTTCATACTGATAATGTATTATTACACAAGACATATCATCTAAAATAGGTACTTTTTATTTAACTATTTGCACTCACTTCATTAAATTATCTACGTTACAATAAATTTAAATATATTAATAACTGTTACTTATTTTTATACAGGTAGTTCGGATGAAAATTCCAGCAGTAACCTTGATTTTCCCAAAAGAAAATTTGTGGTAACTTTTTCTTCAGAAGAATGGAAAAAAATAAAACCAGATGATGTTCAATACAGACTTAATGATAAAAAACGACCATCACAAAGTTGTAAAACGTATTATGCATTAACCAAAAATCAATGGACACCTATTTTGGCTGAACATTTTTGGGTGCATACACAACTTCCATGCTGCTTGTCATTCCGCAAAGCAAATGTTCATCCACATGGAACAAATTTTGTAACCGTATTTGGACGGTGTAGTGTATGCAGCTCATGCTTTAAAGGAATTATTTCTGAAAAACCATTAGATGACGAGAGGTAGCAAATTTTATTAAAATTTAAAGACATTTTTTTTCTGAACTTTGTTATTTCATACAAAGTTTTACATTTTTATTTTATTGTTTATAGAGTTTTAATGCATTGTACGTATACGGGAAATTTTGACATGTTGCACGAGCCAAATAAAAAACGCCGTTTGTTGGGAATAGCAAAGGAAAAAGTAATTACAGCAATTGTTCAAAAAAATATGTCGAGTGCCACACACCGTGAAACAGAAGCTGTACGACTGATGAAAACAGGTGATTTTAGTCCGTAATGATAAGTATAAAAAATAAAAATTATAATATAAACAAATTATATTAGCAAAAATAAGCATTAGTATTATAATAGCTACCGGGGACGGATTGGGATATAAATTCTGCCCAGGAAATCTGCACGTAATATATGATTATTGAAAAATATTATGAAAAAAAATTAAACACTCCTGGTAAATATTAAGTTAATTTATAACTAACTAATTGATTAGTACACAAGTTTTTACTTCCTTGGTTAATACTTTTGAGTTACTTTTTACTTTAGTGGTGATCTCATATATTATATTTAAATAATGAAAGCAGATCATTTTAGATTCTGAGCGAAGCGATGAATGTATTGATTTTACAAT